AACTCGTCTCGTCTCTATATCTCGTCCCCTTGAGGTACGGGATCGGGAAAGTCACTTTAACTTTACAGTCAAATAAGACACACACAACGAAATACGTTTCAGCTCTCGTCTTAGTCGGTCAATCGAGCACTCTATAAGACACAGCGCCCTGGGGAAAAAATCCCCAAGACCAAGACTGGACTGCCTCAAGGCTCACCCCTGGACTCTCTCGGACTGACTGCGTCTGTCGTGGAGTATTCGCCAAGACCAACTCAAACTCTCTTTATTCATTTTCAAAACTCTAACCAATTACAAAGCAGTAAAAAGACTCTAAGGCGTAAACTTCAATCATTAAGCCAATCACACTAAGTACTGAATACGTCATATCTTTTGATTAATCGTTCACTACATTAATAACTACGGATGTCAGAATAGCGACGGTATCTTGTAATTAGTTCCAAATCACTGAGCCAAGTTCCGTCCAAAACTTCAAATAGACCTAAACGATGACAGACATAACACAGCAATTCGCTAATAATCAACTAATTAAGTCGGTTAACGGATACGCAAAAACAAATTCATGACAAATGTATTTAAATCCAACATTTTGTCCAATGTTACTGTTTTATACGTAATATTGTAAGGTTTGCCAAATCCTTATAAACTGCATCTTAATCTGGTTATAAAATAAAATAGAAAATGTATGATTTGATTTCTTGTGAATGTAAATAATTAATAGCGTGTGAGTAAAGATAGTGTTATCTTATTCATAAAAAGTGGAATTCAGACAAAAGGAAACAGTGACGTTAAATGTTATATTTAAAGCGGGCGAGTCGTCACCTGCGCATGCGTCATATGGTCATAGCGTGTCATTGTTTACAAACAAGCGTCTACGCATGAGCCTTTGCGTTTTTTATTAAGACAATATCTGACGTTAAATTTGAAACCTCAAACTTTATAAAAATACATTTTGAGAGATAATCAAATGCAATGTATATATGTTTTTGAGGGGCAATACTACTATATGTTCGTTTCCGAATATAATATGTTTATACGAGTTATGGACGATGTGGAATGTTATTATTGTTTTCAAACCAAATACATATTGAGATTGCTGTAGGTGGGCAGTCACGTGATCAGTATAATAACCCTAGGACTTTATATCACATATATTCTCCCGTAGTTGATTCTCGTTGTGTCAATACGAACCAGAGTAAAAAAATAGACATTTTGGTATATAAAAAGCCAGCTAATAACGTCATCTGTTTGGTCGAGAAGCTCTTGGCAAATTTTAAATTGCACACTCGCACAACAGATCCACAAAGTAACACTTTATATTGGAATGTGCACATTTTGTTTACGTCAGCCGAACAAATAATTCATAGTCCCATTCTCTAAAGGTGCTCGTAGCATTAAATTAATATATACAACTAATGGAACGTTATATTAACACAATAACTGTTGCCATAGCGACAGCCATTAGTTCAGTATCATTAGTACCGATAGAAATATTGTATATCAATTTACACAATGAATACAGTCGTAAAATGCAGGTGGTAACCTTGCAGTGTTTTCATAATATCAATCGATAAACTGTGTAGGAACGCTCGACAAATGCGAAATACCATGTCAAGATAATATATTATGAACAAGTATTGTACAGAAAATCGTCTCTATACATTACAAATCGCACCAAAATCGTCTGAATAGAGAATGGGTAGACCCTGTTTGTGTTACAATCTATGCCTATTATCAAGCTCTGAAGATTTTGGATTAAAATAGCATAGTTTACCAAACAAGCAAAATCAATTGCCATGTACTCTTAACATGTGTTAAAATCAACTGTAACATGATGTTCTTTCTGTAACAAATAATACAAGAAAATTAATGTATAAGCTCGTAATTAAAACTTCTTCGACCAACAACGTTGGTACACTTCTACATCATTAACAAGACAAATGATTGTGCCAGTCTTTAATTGTGACATTTACAATGAAATGGATATCTTAAAGCGTAGATTGTTGCAACATGCTACAATTGCACGGAACGCACTCAACTAAATTATTACAAACAACTAACAAAATACTGAAGAGAAAGTTTGCTTATAGTTCTGATACTGTTGTGTGATGTATATTTTTTCTAATTTTGGTTGGAAATTGGATGACCCATAAATGCTGGCAAACCAAGGCAAATGTGAGCTTTTTTCTAGAGTTCGTTTTAAATTCAAGACAAATGTATATAACTCTTCTATGGGTGTAATAGGTCAATATTACATACATATGTGATTTATTATTATTTTTCATGTTCTCAATTTAACTCATTATTCATTAGTTTGTAGCGTGTTATAGTTCTGTAAACTCAACATAACATAAAATATAAGTAATAAATAAATAAAAAATAATAAAAATGAAATAACATGAATTTTAATCTAAAATCGAAAGTGTACTTCACATTACATTGTTTGTTTTCAAAATATCATTTATGAGACTTTGCGGATGGAATCAAATTGATGATCAATTGAGATACTATCATGCATTTATACGTACAAATGATTTATAAATAATGTTACAATGACAGAAAAGTTATCTGAGAGGCGGAGATCACCAAAGTTCCTGCTTCATTACAAAATCAAAATATATAGAATATGCAGATTATTATACAGATGAATTGATTTTAGGTTTTTCTGTTCTTTTTAAAAAAATGAAAATCCAAAAAATAAAAAAAAACAGACAGATTTGTCGAGTAACCTGACGTCAGAATACACCCAAAAGCGTGAACGAGGGGAAATATTTATGTTTTGTGAAATATTGCGATGAAAACATTAGCTGCAACAAATTATGAATCCATATTTTGTTTGAAGTCATGACTTTGAACAAAAGGCTGGCTGGCGTTTCGATGCTAATAAGAAAGACGAAATTGTCACCATGGTGATGTTGAGCGTTGATACAACACAACGCTGATGTATTTATGACGATGTTACAATATCGGTAATTTAGGCAAGTCACTAACAGGTACCGCAGAATCAAGTTCGTGGCCTACATTTATGATTATTGTACTAGTTCTGTGAACGCATCTAATCTGCATGTGCCAAATTTGAATACCAAATAAAGTCACGCATACTTCAATATAGATATCCGCGGCTTTGGAACTCATTACCCGACTAGAACTCAATGACCGCCTAGAACTCAATTATCGCCTAGAACTCATTGCCCGTCTAGAACTTATTGCGCGCCTAGAACTCATTACCCATCTAAAACTCACTGTCCGCCCAGAACTCATTACCAGCCTAAAACTTAATACCCGTCTAAAACTCATGACCCGCCTAGAACTCAATGCTCGCCTAAAACTCATCTCCCGTCTAGAACTCACTGCCCATCTAGAACTAATTGCCCGCCTAGAACTCATTGCCTGCCTAAGACTCATTGCCCGCCTAGAACTCATTGCCTGCCTAAGACTCATTGCCCGCCTAGAACTCATTACCCGCCTAGAACTTATTACCCGTCTAGAACTCATTACCCGCCTAGAACTTATTGCCCGCCTAGAACTCATTACCCGCCTAGAACTTATTACCCGCCTAGAACTTATTGCCCGCCTAGAACTCATTACCCATCTAAAACTCACTACCCACACAGAACTCATTACCAGCCTAAAACTTAATACCCGTCTAAAACTCACTACCCACACAGAACTCATTGCTATTTGAAACTCATTACCCGCCTAAAACTCATGACCCGCCTAGAACTCAATGATTGCCTAGAACTAAATGATCGCCTAAAACTCACTACCTGCATAGAACTCATTGTCCGTCTAGAACTTATTGCCCGCCTAAAACTCATTGCCCGCCTTGATCTCATTGCCCGCCTAGAACTCATTACCCGTCAAGAACTCATTGCCCATATAGAACGCAATGGCCACCTAGAACTCATTACCCGCCTAGAACTCAATGACCGCCGAGAACTCATTGCTCGCCTAGAACTCAATGACCGCCGAGAACTCACTGCTCGTCTAGAACTCAATGACCGCCGAGAACTCACTGCTCGCCTAGAACTCAATGACCGCCTAGAACTCATTACCCGTCTATATAAAAAGTTGCACAAATGAATTTTCCTTTAAAACGAAATTGAAAAAAACAACAACAACACATTTATGCCATTGATTGATTGACGGCGCTAATATAAATTATTTCTTCTGTAACTTGGATTACCCTCTCAAATAAGTGCTATTATGGATAGTATTTTTAACAAATTACGTGGTGATTGCACTAATGAGCTACCGTAGCGCTCACAACCATCATAATGCTGCGGCGCGCACCGTCAATTAATAGTGTTGCCGAAATAAAATAATACTGAAGAATATAAATAAATAACCAATTAACCTTACTATTAATCAATACACAGGTATCTCCTATTTTATAATCGCGCGCTTCGCAATGCAAACACGCGAATATAAACAAAAATAGGTGCAACTATGCTGAACAAAATGGCGTAGATGATTTCGTCCAACCCGTCGGTTACCGCATCCACATATATGTAACACTTTAATCTATGAGGCCTTCAGACTAGGTAAAGATATGGACTCAAAGGGAATAAAAAAATGGGTGTCCCACGCTAAAAACACATTCAATATTACAAACATGGACCATATGTTGGATACTGTGACAGCGGATAAAAACAGACAATCATTACATCCCTTGAGAGCAATCTAAAATCAATGTTCAAAAATCATTTTAAAGAGACACTATATAATGATAACAAAGGTGAAAATCGTAAAAATAAATTAAGAACTTATAGAATGATAAAACATAATTTCGATTTTGAAAAATATCTGGAAGATGTTAAAAACCCATCGCACAGATCTGCTCTAACTAAGCTAAGGATCAGTGTGCACACATTGCAGATTGAGACAGGAAGATACATCAACCCAACAGTAGAAGAGAGAAAATGCTACTATTGTCAGGAAAAACAAATAGATTGAAGATGAAAGCCATTTTGTATTAAAAATTTCTCTCTATGCTGATTTAAAAAAACAAGTTCCTCCATACCACAAAGGTCATTACAACAATTGACAAATCTGATATTGAAAACACTGTAGACATTCTAAAAACAAAGGATAAACAATCACTAATTCATTTGGCAAAATATATCTTTGAGTGCTTTAATTTAAGAAATGACACTCATAAACAAAAAATACCAGCTGCTTTATAATTGATATAACTTATTAAGATACCTTTTCTGTTTTGTTTTTTCTAACCATTCCTTGTTCTCCGTTTTTATTTTATTTTATTATGTTTTCACTATGTCTTCATTTGTATTTTTCGTCTTGCCATTCTGTATGTATTTGAAATTTTATTGTATTTTAAAAATCCAGATCCTGAACAGGATATGATTTCAATAAAGGTATTATTATTATTATTATATGGAAATATTCCAAGCAAACAATGATGCTCCAGTTCAAACTGATTACCATACTGCCGTTATTTGCATGCTGGGTTCGTGTCACCTACACATATGCGGGTATACGTATTACGAGATAAGCATTTACATAACGGTATCTACCTGCACACATTTTGCATGCAATTTCATTGTGGAGATACATATCTATTAAGGATAGATGTAACCAAAAAAATACCAGATAAGATCGGAATTTCTAAGGCAATAGACTAGTAGATACAGAGCTTAATTAATATGTATATCTCGCGAAGTAGACACGTGACTTTGAGTTATTATTGGCCATGTGAGTATAATCTGAAACGTAAGCTGGCTGTTTAAACCACGTGACCCGAGCAAGACTTTTCGATGCCTTGACAATAATATGCGACGCGAATGCAACGTCTGCGCATGCACATGCTGTACGTACGTCGGTACACGTTTAGAAACAAGTATGCTGAGTCAGTTTGTCACGTGAACTCCGTTAGATTGTTGCGAACCCGTGACCTTCTCTGTGTGCAGTGACTCGGAAATAATTGCTTGTTGCATACGCTAAGGCAGCTAAACAAAACGGCGTTGAACCGTGGGCCTTACTGTGCACCATGCTAAATTATTACCGACGTTCGATATTCGAGGTAAAACGGAGTTAAATTCTTCACCCATGACAAACATCTTGGGCCAGTAACGCTAGGATCAACGCATTATGGCACCATAACCTAGATCGAGTCAAGCAGCACTAAACACGACACCAGACAGCAATGGCTTACGTTCAAGTTCGATGTATACTCGGCAGTCTTATAGTCGCTGGGATGGTGTTAGTGGCAATACTCATTCACATCTCGAATAATATGAAAGACGCAGTACATCCGAGGTGAGGATACGTTTCTTTCTTTCCTAAGACTTATAGAAGGTTTCAAGCTTGATGTGTGCGGGTCACGAGTTTATTTTTTTTCTGCGCGCTAGGCGGATGACGGTTGTCGTGCTATAGAACGTTGGACGTATCTTATCATGTGACGACATCGTCCTCGACAAAACTACATCATCCTCGACAAGACGACATCGTCTTGACTAGTGTCACAGTAAGATACAATATAGACCTGTATGTTTAAGGTCTATGGATTAAATAAACTGTTGTAAATGATAATCGTATGTAGCTCATTGGCGACCTAGTTTTGTTATTTTTTTCGCTCAATGCTGACAATATACATACACACCAACACAGGTCATTGGTCTGTATTGTTCTATTATAACCGCGTACAAACACACGTAATGTATATTATTTCTATTTAATTCAGGGCCATTCTTGTATGACGTGCCTGGAATAATACAGGTATCGTTTAACGAATAATAGTCTGACAAATGTTCTTTTGCGGGATGTTTTTTGACTGTAGTCCGCAATCTTTCTAGCTCAGCGTCTATTTCTGGATCTCCAACTTCAGTATAAATATATTTAAAATGACCACTTCTAAATGATGCACGATACCATCATGATGGACCTAGGTAGGTTCATGACGACACATAACAAACCCAACTTATCAACGTAGCGTGACGACACCAAAACATTCGGGCGCTAGAGGGCGCAAATAAAAACTGCCATGAACAAGTATACTATAAATACACTTCTTAACCGTGACTATTTTTGTTTTCTCTAAAATTATTTTTTTCAATGTGACTACTGAAGCTAGCTTTCGCAGTCACGTTAAAAGTAGGCAAACAAATGACTAAAATTATTTATATTGTAACATCACCTGGTAACACGTCCCCTATTAGCTCCGTTATTAATTTTGTCATTACGGAATTCCCATGTAGATCAGAACCATGCTCTATGCGCAAAGTCTGATTGACCAGTTATGCACTAATCGGTATTAGTGATGTCAGTTTGTAAATAAATAATTACGAGTTTATGTGAACATGTAAGGAAATGACCATTTATTATTCCTGAGGGCGGGCAAAACAGGGGAGTCAGCATATTTCCCAAAGCCACAAGGGGGGCGACTTTTTATCAAGGCTGAAGGCGGCCGAATATTTTTCTCTTAAAGATTTTTTTTTACTTTACACCTGTTTCTTCATATATACATGTGAAAGATCAATACAAATACATGAACAAATATATATAGAGAGTGGGGGGTTACAATTTTTTCATTTTCTAAAGGGGCACCCACTTTTACAAAACTTGAATGATTTTTTTTTGAAATAGCACCGAGGATTGCCCGACCCCCTTAGAATTAATAATGGTTATTCCCTAAGTGATTAACAGCACATATTAGCATAGCCACACCTCTAATAAACACTTGCAAGTTGTAAATGAAAAATAACGTATAAATTGAATGGCAACGTCTGTTGAGACCACGTGAGACCCTGCTATCCCATTTGTATCTCCGTCTGTAAAATCAAAAACATTTGTCTTGTCGTTGAAATTATGAATGAAAGAAAGGGTATATTGACGTATATAGTACTTCGGGCAAAGTGCCTTAATGCGTATACATGCACTTCGAGTTTGAGTACGTACCAATAACCCGAAGAGCATGCGCAAACTAGTACGAATGTGTATCGATTCGGCAGAGCAAACGTTTTAGAGTTTTTTTCGTTTCTACGATGGTAACTTTAGTCAAAGATTTGTGAAGTCGCATCTCCTACCAACGTATTCATGCACAGTTGGTTGAGGGTGCATGAACGATGTGATGTGGTAGAACTATCCAATATTGCATAACAATAGTCTCTTTTATATACTCCCCAGGATAAAGACGTCCGAAGTATCCAATGTGATTGACCCTTCACCGACAACCAGCCGTGACATTCAATACAAGTCTACAGACTTTCCAACCGAGAACGCAAGTTGTAACCCTGTGGAGAACATAGTATTTCTGAAAACCCATAAAACCGGAAGTAGCACTGTACAGAATATACTCTTCCGTTATGGAGAAAAACACAACTTAACTTTTGCGTTACCAAAACCTCCAAGGATAAATTTGATGGGTTGGCCTGAATATTTCAACGAGAAATTCATGATTCAAATACCGGGTGGAAATTACAATATATTTACCTTTCATACAAGGTTCGATTACGAAGGTATGTGACAAGATATTACTTCCTTGTAATGACGTCAGTATTAGTCTCCATCCATTTTCTTTCAAATAATCGTCTTGTTTATATCATGTATGGTTGTCTGTCACACGTTCACTCGTGGGAGATATTACACTTATTTATTGGGCAAAGATGACTACACTCGTACTAGAGATTATAGCTACGAACACGACTGAATACAATGGCGACTTGTATGATCTACCTGGGTACCAGTTTACTAACATCTCAGAGATCCGTGTTACGACAAATAAAACCTTTGTATGCAACTGATGTGTGAATTGGACGACTATCTTCGAACCAATCTGTTTTTTTTTTCTTGTCTTTTTAATATCATGTATTTGATCATTTATTTGTTCATATATTTTATATTATTAATTTGCAGACAGTTTTTCAGGTTTTGCTAAGATGTACGTGATGATAATACAAAATATAGAACCAATAAAATTGAATATATGACTGTATTCGGGTACATATGGAGAGATGGTTCCATTTTTGTTTAGTTTTTAAAAGACTAATTCAGTACACTCACGTTTATGCCTTAATATTTCGAAACGTGTGGACAGCGCTCGCTCGACATTCATTGGAATCGAAGCTCTCGTATAAGCGGATGTGATACGAATAATTTTTTGGTTTATTTGATTGCATATTAAGTGCCTTTTCGTTTGTATCTTTCAGCTATTAAGTCAATCATGCCGGTAAACACGGTCTACATAACCATATTACGAGACCCGGTAACGCAGTACGAATCTTTGTTCACTTACCACCAAATGCAAAGAAAGCTAAACATTCCGAAAATAAGTGAAAAATCTTCACTTGAAGTATTTCTAGAAAACCCATTGAAATATTATAAATCTGACGGATACAACGGACTGTCACGAAATCCATCTTTGTATGACCTTGGCTTTCGCGTTGACTTCATGGATGATACGCATGCAATACGGAAACAAATCAAAGAGGTGGAAGACGTATTCGATTTTGTCATGCTTACAGAGTACATGGAGGAGTCACTAATATTGTTACGTCATCTCCTGTGTTGGGAGATCGAAGATATTGTACATTTCAAATTGAATTCCAGACTGGGGAAAAGTAAAAGATATGTAGACCAGTTGGCTGAAGGCATTCGAGGCTGGAACCACGCTGACGTCGCTTTGTATAATTATTTTAATGCTACGTTTTGGGGAATGATAAAAGAATTTGGTGAAGAGAGAATGGAGCTGGAAGTCAAAACTCTTAAAAATAAAATTGAAGAGCTGTTCAAGTTTTGTGTTAAAGGTTTAACGGACGACGTGGTTGGGTTTGTGCCGCAAGGTGTACAAATATTCAGTTACGAGTTGAATCCACATGCTAGAAATAACACGCTTTGTAAAAATCTAATACGAACAGAGTATCAGTTTACTTACCGACTTAAAAACAAGTATATTCATTCCGATGACTGACCTAAGCTTTCTTTTATGGACTATTCATTCATCGCTGTCACGTGATAGTTTTGTCCATGGACGTAGTCATATACAGTATATATATTTGGGGGAATTGTTTAGTGATTACATGACTAGCTACTCACCGTGACTGCAATACCAAGATGACGGATTTGAAAACATATCACGTAACAAGCTTATTGTAAATTACTTAGTACTATCGTGTATTTTTTCATTTTACCTGATTTGCGCATATTCAAGTGAGTTGTTTACCCGAGAAACTCGAAAACAACTGCATCACAGTAACAACAGACAATATATAAACTTTTAATGCACACACATAAGTTTTCAGATTTTTACTTATTTATTGTTAGTTTTCTATTGAAAATATGTGATCAAGCCATGACATTTTTTTCTTGTTTGTTTTTGGTGCTGCTACTTGTCATCGAGTGTACAAAGCGCAACGCAGTCGAATTTAATTTATGCAGAGTGGGGTAGTGGGAATTACGAGATCAGTTGATCAAACAGCTAGAACTTATCTATAGATCTAACTTCCTAAAAACAACAGAATAAATGTAGATGTCTTGAAATTGCCTCTTTTGTAATACACTCATTTCACCGTTGGCTGGAATGACTCACGGAGATAGGGTGTATCTTCGGGCGCCTTGATAGCCGCTTTTGACTAAAAACTTGGGTAAATTTGGTCATAGTGTTTTTCACTCATTCAGAAACCGTCTTATCATGCTACATGCCAAATATTACCGCTGAGGGCAGCATTTCACAATCGAACACGGTAATTTCAGTTGGAACATAGGCATCGAGTCAATACTACGCTCAACGTCAACAGTGGCTGTAGAAAGAACTAGGATACATACTAATTTAGATTCTATCTTCAACTTCATACAGTTTTTAGGATTACCACTTATCATCATGTGCTAAAAATGGGGCATAAAAGGAAATTGACCGCAAACTGACTTCGGGGTGGAGGCTTTGGACGCATTTATTCCAGTTTAGCACTGTATTACACCCCCGATTACTTCATCTCAGTTTATAATCTCTATTCATAAGCTTGTATGTTTGAGGCCATAGCAATCACATTCGTTGATATAAATATTAAATTCCGTATATGCTTAGCTACATGAGAAAATTCAACACAGTTGACAAAATTGAAAGGTATTGGTTGTGTCATTTTATGCACTTTGGCTATCCATTCATTTCTGCATTTCAACTGTGGCGGCGCAGCTAACATGCACCATATTTTTAATATGTAAAGGCAGTATGCTGGAAAATTCTCTGATAGTGAGCGCTGTCGCTTTCAAACTTTAAGTCTCAAACACCGCATGCACTCCGTACCATGCACGCACATCTACTAGTGTTAGTCTTGCATCTCAACTTGAAATTATTTACTGAAAGATTGAAAATCCATGTTAAATATACATACAGTGTATATTGCGTATTTTGCATGCTTGAACATTGATAGAAATAGTTGATTTATATCCAAGAGAGATTCGAGTAGCAGTAAATAACCAGAGGATTGTTATTGTCGTCCACACCTACTGCTGATTTATCAAATATAGAAGCTGGGAGGGCGCCCTCGTCATGGTATATGTATTTTCTTACGTTGAGGGAGCTCATTTTCCTGCTCAGCATGTCACGAATGTTTTATTATTAGTCGCGATGTCATATAAAAGTCAATATATATTTACACGATAAAATTGAAAAAATCTGAGAAATGTATTTGTGTTTGAAGTATATTTGAGACCGCCTTTTGTCATTTTCCATTATGCTTTATTAACATGGGTATTTTTGTCACCACAAATGATGACGTCATATCAAGGCAACGGATCGCCTTTGCTAACATATTCACGGTTACTAGTTCTTCTAGTAATCGTGGCACATTGCATGAAAAACATACACGCATATGATGAATATTTATTGTAACAACAATTTATTATTGATCACTGCTTTTGATATTTAAATTCAATTGATATGTTTAATATATAAATTAATGTAAATAAATTTATATCGTGATTGGTCAAATATATAACAAAATTCCGGAAAAGACGAAAACACAGATAAGGCCTATTTTTTTTCATGTGAATGTTGTTGTCTTTTGTCAGTGTTTGTCAAATGTGGGGGGATTTTTTTTTTTTTTTTTTGCTGTAATTTTTCTATTGAAATTTGTCTCGAAATACTTTCTCTGTTTAGATTTGTTTAAATCCTCCCACGGTGTTTCTAATCTTTAAATAAAAACATACTCTACGTGAAGCTCGGAAAATACGATAATTTGTATTTTGAGAAAACACATAATTGTTTTTCAACAACCTCCCCCCCCCCAGAGTTTCTGCTATAACCCCTTAACAAAATTAAACAGCCCAGCACGTTAAGGCTATAATATTACACAATTTGCGAATTGACATTCAAAACTATTGTTAACTCTCTGTCGTGTATTCACCCTAGAAATCATTGCTAGCTGGCGCATTAACAGCTGTCGCACACGGAGGTCGGAGTTCAGTCATGCGCAGATTACCACATTAAGCCGAAAAAGATGGAGGAATTGTTTTTTTGCTAGCTGTTTTATTTTTGTATAGTTTACATGTCTTTTTGGCACCATGGAGAAGTCTGCGCTCAACTATATATCCAAGGTAAGTTAGTTTCATCGCTACAGTGGTTTGATTGTTTAGTAATTGTTGTGTTGTGTCCCGATTTGTATTTGTTGGGGGATCCTCGACCGCGACCTGATCAGATGACCTGTTATAAGTGGCGTGAGTCACGCGATAATAGCACAACCTATTTTTATTTGATAAAAACAAACTAACTGAGTTTATAGTGTTAACTAAAATTATGAACAACTTTGTAGCGTTTTTTGTTGGTAATAAAGATGAATGGACGTGGTCTAATTAACGAGCCCAATTATAAAAATGGTGATCTCGGGCCCGGACAGTAGCCGGTCTTGATTCGAAGGTTGTATACAATGTTGACATATATCATTAATATTATAATAATAAACTAAATTATTTACAAAAGTCGCTCGTCTTTAATATGACGACAGTGTATCAACAACAATCGCGTTTTTAGCTTCTGATTGCGTTTGTTGACATTTCCACAAGGCAATACAGATTTATTCTCCTGCACAACTTTCTGTATTTTATTTATTTGTGCTTTGTAATCTGGATAAATGAAACCCTCTAGTACGTGCCTATTCGAAGCATGTGTGCACCGATCGATCACATGGTGGGAGGGGGTCAGATGTCATTACTCTAATAGGCCAAATGGTTTCCTTTTGTTCTTGCTGTTTACAAGAACTTTGATTAGCTGTCTACTTTTCTTTGCACTTTGTGAAAAAAACGTACGGTTTGAGGCTGATTTCTATCGTGGTTGGGAAAGAATTCCTTTTGCACTCCCACCCAAAACCCTAACTCTAACCATACCCTTACTCTCTAGCATACTCCAATTTAATTGTAATAATAATAATCATCTTTATTGATATCGTATCCCCTCTGGAATCTAGATTAGAATATGATAAGGATATAAGGAACAATAAATTACACAAGGAATAATAATAATAAAAAAAGAAATAATAAAATAAATAGTAATACTGTGAAAATATTATTATATAAATATTTGTTGGTGTTATTTTGAGGCAGCTGGTAAATTGCTTTTCATGAAATTCTCTCTTTTAGTAAAACAGTCGTTGATAAACTTGGCAATGTCTTGGACAGTTTCAGAATTTTTGTTAGTGAGAAGTGCTTTCAGATTACCGGATAAGTTTAAGTTTTCAAACAAAGCATCTCTTTCAGATTTGTACAGGTTACAATTGAAGAGGAAGTGTTCTTCGTCTTCAGTTTCATTGGAGTCACAGACAGGGCATGTTCTATTTGAGATATCTATATGTATATATGCCGCTGCACATATAGTTATCTAGAGTGAGATATGTAATTGAATTGGGCTGGGGGGGAGGGGGGGGAGGGGGTGAGAGGGTTAGAGTTAGGGATGGGGTGTAAAAGGAACTCTTTCTTCATTGGAACTGTGCCAGTCTGAATTCTGCTATTTTTTTGATTCTTAGGTTCTTTAGTTGGTCTACCCCCCCCCAGTTGAACCCTAACACTTCAGCCCCTCCGATGTATTTGTATATTCCCCTCAAGATAACTATATATATGAAGATATGGGGAGGGGCACTTGAGGGCAGGGCTAGAATTAGAGTTATGGCTGAGGGAGCCCTATGTAATGAATTAACTTTTACCTTGTAAGGAAAAAATTACTGCATGTAAGATTCCTATATTTGTTAACACAGTGTCATTGTTTTGAAAGCCATGTATTAAATAAACAATCAAGACATAACAAACTTCTAATTTACTAAATAGTCACCACCAAAAGCAAATATAAACAATCCTTCGCATTCAGTACAAGCTTTGCTTCAATCACACACATATTGCATTGACGATCATACACAAGTTTATTTTTTTTACACTAACGCTTTTCAGTTGAATATGAAACAAATATAAAATAAAACAAAACCAAAAATATTTTGGGGAAGAAGTATATCTTGTTGATGTCACATCCAGTGTGAAATGAGCTTTCCATCTATATATAGCCAAAAATAAAAATTGAAGATAGAAAATGTGCAAAATGTAATATTTCTGAAGATGAGCTATACTTTTTCACATCATGTATTATTACAAGTAGGAAAAAGACGAGAATACTGCAAAGTATGCACTCAGGCAGTACAGTAACACATTATTTGTTGCCATTCCTGTCTGTTATTTCTCATTTAATCATTATTATTACAAGCAGGAAAAAGATGAGAATACTGCAAAGTATGCACTCAGGCAGTACAGTAACACATTATTTGTTGCCATTCCTGTCTGTTATTTCTCATTTAATCATGTATTATTACAAGCAGGAAAAAGATGAGAATACTGCAAAGTATGCACTCAGGCAGTACAGTAACACATTATTTGTTGCCATTCCTGTCTGTTATTTCTCATTGAATCATTATTATTACAAGCAGGAAAAAGATGAGAATACCGCAAAGTATGCACTTAGGCAGTACAGTAACACATTATTTGTTGCCATTCCTGTCTGTTATTTCTCATTGAATCATTATTATTACAAGATGTACATGTTATAATAATATGGTTATCTTGAGAATACCGCAAAGTTATGCACTTTAATAGGGAAGATAGGAACACATCGTCCTCCACTACATATCAGTCAATATGATCTCTGAACTGCCTTTGTACTTACTTTAAGATATCCTTGTAATAACCTCATACATGTAGTATACTAAACAAACCATTGATATTTCTACTTTTTGTTTATTAATTCAACTCTACAAAGATTGAGCTTATTTATACTCAGTCACATTTAAAATCTAATGTTTATGATGGTACCTGTACAATAAATAATCTCTTCATCTATCAGAAATCATGGTTATTATTTGAGACAAAACTACAGCTCCCTCTTGTGGTGATATAGCACCTTCTTGTGGGGTGTGTGTTTATAATGCCTCTATACTACCATTTTTTGTATTATTTTTTGTCAATTTATTTTTTGGAAGGTGGTGTTGGTGTGTTTGGATTTGGATAGTTGGTGGCAAGGGATGTCATTAAAAAAATAACTATTTTTTATTTTTTCAATATTGCAGATCAAAACTATTTCACCCCTTACTCTCATTTATATGACATAGGTCAAATTAAATAAATTCTGTCACAAATATATATCCTGAAAATTAAATTAGTTTTTTTTTTAATCTATAAGAATCATCAGTATGTTCTACATGTATCAATAACCCAAGAGTTCATGCTCATTGGGAACATTAAAACTGTTATTTATGTCTTAAACATGTAGTATGGTAAATGGAGCAATGAATTGGAATTACCAGTTAGTGAGTTATGCATGTCAGAACCTGACTGTTTTATTTTTTATCTGGAACACCTAAAATTCTAACATGCGATGTGGTTTCAAATCCTGCTTTAGAACACACTTATCACAACTTTCCTAGGAAGTATGGCAGGTTACATGTTTCATATTCGCTTGGATGCCGTGGCAACGGATGTTATGAAATCTCTTATTACATGTATAAATTTAGAAAGAAAAGGACTAGATTGCTTAAGAAATACGTGTTCATCAAACAAATTCCAGACTTGAATCAAATTTTTGAAGAATTAAGTCGGCTGCATCGGAGAGACGTCAGTGTCGCATGTGATTCAATGAACTTGTTGATGCACTAAGCTGCGACAAATTTGATCACAGCTGACTGAAATGCTTGACAATGTTCGATTGTTTGCTAAGAATTTGTGACTTGTATATCTTGCGTAATGCCATACCCCCGGTAGTTGTTGCATTTGTTACACAGTACAGACTACTTCATATTGAAGTCACACAGTATATTCAAAGCAATACAGATTTAAATTAGAGTCGTTCTGTAGCTCAGAGAAATAAAATTGATCTGTGATTCGGACATTGTTAAGATGTTACTAAGAATGTTACTATAGCAACATGTTATTATTTCAAAGCTTAGTTATAAGTGAATAACGTAGTGTATATGTTGTACTAATGTTTGTCTGATTATCTTACTGTCAATTTCACTATTGTTACTATTCTGACCATTGAAATGCTGTTTTGTAACACTTTCAGCCACACAAATGACCTTTGACCTGACTGCTTTTTTTTTTTAATCTGCCTATGTTTTCTAGCTACATGTATGCCCAAATAACTGCAGACATGCAACTGACAATCTTTTAAAAATGTTTGAATCACTTATTAATTTTTAACTCATTTTTCACCTGTTGCTTATATATGTTAATATATATGTAATAACATAAATTTTGAGTTGTTAACTGTGTTTCGTGTGCTTATTGTTCAAACTTGTTTGTTCATGCCGTCACAGGTTGAAACGTGCAATGACTCTAAAACCTGAGATGATCACTGTTGTTTTCTTTCACTGTATTACTCTCTTCCATTAGTGTACATGTATCTTTAATTAGTAAAACATGTTTTTTCTGATCTTCTATCAATTCACACGACTTTAAAATGGATTGCATACATGTACATGTATTCCTTAGATTATTTATGTTGTGCAGATTTGTGCTGAAAGTACAATTGTAAATTGTTTGATTATTAATTAACTGAAATGTGAAATCTATTCAGCTAGTAATTTTCAAGACTACATTGTTAGAATGTATATTCTTTCAGTTAGGAGGAAAATCAGCGACAGCCGAGATATAACTTTTTAAAATAAAACAAATATTTTATGTTTCATTGCATGCACATAATATAAACAACATTTTAATCTTTGTTTGGCACTTGGTTATGAATGTTTAAATATAAATCTGTATACAGACATGTAAAAGAAAATTAGACTTGATACTTGCATGTGAGTATCGAAGACTGTTAACTGTCTTAATTGTAATTGAGATGAGTATGTTCTTACTGTAAAATTATTACAAGTAGCTTTATTTTAATGTTGAACTTTGTAGCAGTGAACATTTCACTGGGTCCTTGAGACAGGGAATACTCAGATAGTACTTGTTGTGGTTTACATAAAGTGATCTCATTTATTGTATTACAAATCAGCTGATATTTTACCATAAACAAGCCACTATGTGGATCCAAATTGATGTTTAGGAAAATGAATCCCAGAAAAATAAAATATTTCATATTGAAATATGTATGGTAGATAATCCCAGGGATGATCACACTGTCTTTTAGATGGGTCATGACAGCACTGTTATACAGTATAGGTTATTTACAGTTTACTAGGACACCAAGAATTCCAAAGAATAAAGAAATCGCATCTCAATACTGATAACCACTTTGTTCTCGTTCTATGCATGTATTTATCTCTTGCCATCCTCAATAAAAATAAAGGTGTGTTCATATTTGGAGAAAGTTCAGTTGAAGTACATTCTTTACTGCTTAGGGATGAATCATTTGAGGCTGGGAGGGGGGTGTGCTTAAGGATGTGGTACAGATTATGAATATTATTATTTTCAAACTGATGTTTCATTGGAAAAGATTAGGACCACAATAGGCTTGAATATGACATCATGGTCCCAAGGAAATTTAGAAAGATCATTTACCCCCCCCACTATTTTACTGAATGTCTGACCTTAATTTTGGTGAACAACAACATTTTGTTTTCTCTCATTCCTGAAGGACAGAATACAAAACTCCATATGGATAATAGTCATCTCTTTTCATGGTCATTCTCAAGGTCAGAGCCCCAAAATATATTTGTGTTTTTGTTTAGACACCACTTTATGAGTCTGGAGGTCGTCCATTGTTAGTTATATTTATACATTAGTGTGTTGAATTCCTTTTATACAATCTGTTTTGGGTCACCATACGTGCTACATTTCAATTGATATTTAGTGTATGTCCATAGACCACCTTATTGTGGCTTAAATGCGAGTACAACTGTGTACATGTGGTTGTTCACTTGTACATCTGTAAGACAATAAACCGGTATGTATTTTTACCATGTCAACATTCATATTCTTGTACGAATTCACATTTCTTTACATTTTATTCATATTTTTGTGCATACTAAATTGAATCTACATAAACACGTAAAATAACAATTTAACTTATTGTTTCACTGACGAATATGTGAACTTAAAATCTATGGAATATGCTCAAAATACCATAATTAAATGCCAGTGAAAAAAATGCAGTGAGTCATTACGGTGACATCATTGCTGTGTCCATATGGTTATTTCATGTTTTGAGATACAAAGACACTACCGGTAGTTTGGGTAAACTATTATTGATAATATAATAATAATAATAATAATAATAATAACTTTATTGCATCCTTAGAAATACAATGTTTCTATCAGTTAATAGCAATAAAGATTAGTTGTGATAACTACTACTACAAAAAGAAAGTTAGTTGTTAAAAAAAAAAAAAAAGATAAAGCAAGTGTTACATATCAAATGGCATTTTTATTTCTTGATTGAAATGCATTATGAATATAGTCACAGCTAATATTGTCACAGCTAGTATATTGTTTATAAATATGTTTACCATGGGCATTATATGCAGACAGCAAAATTACATCGATTATTACAAGTTACCGTACATACTTTGGAAAATTTGATCAGTAATGGTTAAATATGTGTACTGGTAATATACATTGATATTTTCATGAAACATGAATGAACAAACTACTTGCAATAGCTATATGTATACTCCCATTTAAGGTGTACGATACATTAAAAGTTAACAAAACTCTTGCAAGCTGAATGAAATATAAATTGTAAATTTACCCTGATAATGTTGTAAGGCCACAAACTTTATATTGTTTATCTTGTATATCTGTATCACAGCTAAAATTGACCAGCCCTGCAAGAAAATTACCAGCTCTGCATTGAAGATTATTTTTAAAAAACTAACATTTTCATTCCAAGTGATTACGACAAAAACACAACATTCCGCCAACACACAAAACTGATAATTTAAATTTCCCAGTTTAAATTGATGAATTCTTTGTTGTTTTTTTGTATTGCCATCTGATAATATTATTTACTGTAAAATACTTTATTTTTTGTTTGGAATTAATTCAGTGAAAATAGAATCCAGCAAATATACCTTTTTTCCTATATTTCCCATTCAACTTATCAAAGATCAGTGAAAATAAATTCCATACAAATCACTCAAAAATTTTTTTTAGCGAAAATTAATTCCAGCTAAAATAAAGTATTTCACAGTAGTAAAATTGCATTTTTTATAATTTGTTCTTGAAGCAGACCAGGAAAAATGTTACCAGACATTCAAATTAATTGTTATCAGTCTGATTAGAAAGTTACATGTACCTGTCTCACCAGACAGGCAAGCAGTAATTTCAAACATGGATTAGTGTACTAGTTCCTTTTTTTGTTCTTGCAAATTTAAATATCAAATCCGGAACTAAAGGATGAATCCACACAACTTATGACTGCCCTCCTTTGAAAATTATTTGTTTCATTTGGTCATTATTCTTGGAAACATATTCATATTTGCTTGTGTTCAACTGTTGTTGCTGCCATGTTAGCACATTATCCTGCCATTCTGATAGGAAAATGGCTACCCAACCCTATCACCATCTTCGCTAGCCAAGGTCTAAGTTTATTCGGCCAAGCCTCTAAACAGACCTTGGCAAAACGACCATCAAATATGCGTATTCTAACAGCGCCCCCAGTAGTCAGTTGCGGCTAATCATTGTCCAATCAGTTTGCGTGTTACAAATCCCTCTTTGGCGTTTCATATTAAACAAAATGGTGGTGCACATGAATCGTGATATTTGTGATGATAAAATTGCGAAAGTTTTCGGTGTTGGTGTTCTCAAGCCTCATCAGGTACAGGCAATCGACGCAGTTTTGTGTGGGAAGGATGACTTCATAGCGACAAAAACAGGAAGTGTAATTTTGTCTTATAATTTGGTACGTCCAAGCTGATTGGGTGCCTTGTTTCGAGGCGCGCCCAATCAGATCTCACTGCTTAAAATACGCAATTAGCCTATGCTAGCCCGCACAGTATCGTGTAGAGGCCTATAGGTCGAAGACACGGGACTGCGATTCGGACGATGCCCTATCACATTTAGTTCAAAACATGGGATTATGTAGCAAAATGTTTCACTTAATACATGTGCAGTATATGTGAATACAATTGGAATTATGTCATCATATACATGTACATTTACAGTCTGGGGGGGGGGGGAGACAACTTGCAATATCTGTGGGTATTCAAAATTAAAGTATAATCACACGTCCCTGATTGACTTGCCAATATAACAATGGGATTATGTGTATCAGCTCTGTAAATAGTAACCCAAGTATACAATGTACAGTCTTATCCTTTGAGCAAATTTGCCACAGAGAAATGTTGTAATTTAAGGTTGTATATCAATGTTGTATATTTAATACAAAATGTATTAAATTAAAAAAGCTTTTTTCCTATACATGTATTGTCTAATTTTACTAAAAAAATAAGGCTTAGATAGAGTAGTGCTGAAGTGATAGTACCATATTTGCTCCATTAGAAGTCCATACATGTATGAAAAAATAATGAATTTTTCTATGCTGAATTATTAATAAATTACTTATTTTCACCATAGACACACCTCTGTCATTTATATAAGTGCATGCGCTTCTAATAGAGCAGATATGGTAGACTTTCACCTTATTTGTACATTGTTTAATGTGATTCTAATATATGGTACTTTTTTCTCATTACAGATGAGCGTATAGAATGTTGTTACAACTGAAATAAACACTATTGTAAATATTGTCACAATGTGCGTCCATAATGCATCTGTTCAGCTTTTTGTTTTGCTACTACTTTTCTACTACTTTATCCAAGTTCCACCAACCAGTGCCTTGTACCTGGATTTCAAACCTGATGAGATGGAATCACAGAATCTGAAACCAATCAAACCTCAGGGAACCCCGTCATGGGCAGTCAAAATCCATTTCAATTCCGTCTTTGACTCTAACAGGACAACGCTTGATGACGCCGCTGACCAAATTGCTAAGGACGTTAGTCTGATTAATGTGGGACAAGTCGGAGAATTGTTTGGACATTATTTATTTTTACATGAAACTTACAGCAATGTGACTATTGAGAGCGAAGGGACTAACTTACATGATTTGCAGGAACGTATTGAAAGGAAACTAACAGAACACAAACATATAGCGTGGTTCAACCAACAAATTATTAGGCCCAGAGTTAAACGGGCATTGAACTTTCAAGATCCGGAATATATGTATCAGTGGCACCTGGTAAGTTAAATAGAAATCTGATCATCATATGACAGTCATGTGACATCTATATCAACCAATGATGCGTCAGATGACAGTCATGTGATATCTATATCATCCAATGATGAGTCAACTGACAGTCATGTAATATCTATATCAACCAATGATGAGTCAACTGACAGTCATGTGATATCTATATCAACCAATGATGAGTCAACTGACAGTCATGTGATATCTATATCAACCAATGATGCGTCAGATGACAGTCATGTGATATCTATATCATCCAATGATGAGTCAACTGACAGTCATGTGATATCTATATCAACCAATGATGCGTCAGATGACAGTCATGTGATATCTATATCAACCAATGATGCGTCAGATGACAGTCATGTAATATCTATATCAACCAATGATGAGTCAGCTGACAGTCATGTGATATCTATATCAACCAATGATGAGTCAGCTGACATCATGTGATATCTATATCAACCAATGATGAGTCAGCTCATATGACTAATTTGCATAATTTCACAACCAATACTAGGACACAAATTATGTAGCAGTAGCAAATGATGAATACAATGTCCTAAAATGGTGGGCATATGTTTAAAAAAATATTTTTGATAGATTTTGATGTAAGAGTATATCAACACCATATGTTCCTTCCGAAAGATGAGAATTTTGACATTTTAAAAAGAGTAATCCGTAGTGAATGGAAAATCAGCAATTCCCAGGTAATCTATAGAGTCTATGTCCACAAATATAAATATAGCTGACAGTCACGTGACTAATTTGCATAATTTTAGTGATGAGTTTTTCAGAAATAAATAATACTACAGTAAACATTTTTTCCTATGAAAAGATTTTGTTTTTTGATATTTTGATAGCGACATCATTGTTTCCTCTTTCTTTTTTTATTTCTTTTTCCGTTTCTGTTTCCCATTTTGGTACATATCATTTTTTGATTGGCTGATAACAAAATTGAAAACATAATTAAACAAATCAAGAATTTACTGTAAATGCATTAATTATTCATTTGGTTTTAATTTTGCTATTTTTGCTGAGTAAAATTTGTTAAATTAAATCTACCTGAACATGAAAAATAACAAGAAAACTCATTGTTTTCTTGAATAATATGTAAAATTAAAACATGGTGAATAAGCTCAAAACATCAAAATGGTGAAAAATAAATGGCTTTACAGTATCTTGTAAAAGATGAAAAAACATTTATTTTGGTGTTAAAAGATTTCAGAATGCACGAAAATATTCACTGCTACAAAAAGTTGCTGTTCCCACAAGTCGTAAAATTTCTGTAATTTATTTTTACAAAATTAAATTATTTTGATTTACAAATGACTGATTAATAATATTTTTCATAAATTTAGATTATCGAGGTGCAATTTTATTTATGATAACAACATCAACCCACAGCACTACAATAGAAATAAAATTGATTTTATGTGAGATGGTTCCGAGCGCTAGGATTTAAAACATCTGTTGAATATAGATTTAAGTCCAATAGCACTATCAGGAGTTTATTAATTTTTATTTTTTTTTATACCGTCAGTATGTGGTCAGTGTTAATACGGGTGTGAATATGCTACTACATGTTTTGATTTGCTTTACATTGCAAAAATTCAAACCAGCCCTGGAACATGTATGCATATAAATTTCTATGCTGAAACATATCAACACATAGAATACTATGTTATACATGTTCAGGGCCAATGGCATATCTTAATTCTGCCAATACATGACATTTTATTTATTATACATCTGACACCGAAAACAATAGAATTCATCTGTCTGTGAAATGTTATACAAATATGTTCATTCATATTACAAACATATTTGTATGTTTTCCATGTTTTGGAAAATGTGCTTCACTTTTACATCACATTCAAACCTTTTTCTTTGCTTACTTTGGACACAGAAGCATTATAGCGTGTAACGAAAATAGAATCCTTTCACTGAGCGCTAAACACTGATATTTTGAGTTTTAATTCTCATTAAATTATTAATACAAAAATAAAAAAAAGTTATCCTATGAATATGATCGTCATACTGCCTTTATGCATGCATACTTTGCGGTATTCTCTTAATAACCTCATACTATACACGATGGTATGTTAGGACAATAACAATTACCATAGAATGTACACAATAAAAGACAAGCTTCAGTCTCTGATAGCAATTGTTGTACTACATGTATTTATTTATATTCTCTGCTGTTCAACAGATGCTGCATCCCAGATCAATAATCATATAATTAAAATCAATAATTATTGACATTTTTATTGTTAGCATAATCCGAGTGGTATGGACATTAATGTGACAAGTGTGTGGGAAAATGGAATCACAGGAAAAGGAGTCACTGTCTCAGTTATTGATGATGGTAAGTGAGCAAATTGAAACATAACAATTATTCATTTTTATTTGCATGGTGTGTGACTATTTGCTTGTGTGTTGTATTGAGAAGATGCTTATTGTTTGAGTTATGAACATCCAGTTATGAGCATGGAGTTATGAGCATCGAGTTATGAGCATCGAGTTATGAGCATCGAGTTATGAACATTGAGTTACAAACATGGAGTTATGAACATTGAGTTACAAACATGGAGTTATGAGCATCGAGTTATGAGCATCGAGTTATGAGCATCGAGTTATGAGCATTGAGTTATGAACATTGAGTTATGAACATCGTGTCATGAACATTGAGTTATGAACATTGAGTTATGAACATTGAGTTATGAACATCGTGTTATGAACATCATGTTATGAACATTGAGTTTTGAACATTTAGTCATGAACATCGAGTTATGAACATTGAGTTATGAACATTGAGTTATGAACATCGAGTTACAAACATCGAGTTAAGAAAACATTGTGTTACAAAAATGAACACCAAATTTTGAGAAACCATGCACAATTTGTAACTTAATGTTCAATTAACAGTTAACAGAACTCATTACTCTGAGTTATGAGCAACATCAATTTTTTTTTGTTTAATGTTTTATGTTTCCTGTAACTCAAAGTTTTGTTGTAACTGTTGTAACTTGTTGTTCTATTAGAAGTGCATTCTCTTATGTAAATTACAGAGGTGTTTCTGTGGTCAAAATAATTATTTTAATACATGTAATTCAGTATACCATAAAATGGGTTTACATGCAATTCTATTAGAAATAGGCTTTTAATACAAATACAGTAGTCTGATTTAACGAATTTGGCACACATGACAAATAGTTTATGTCCCTTTGGTTGGATGTTGTTCTCTCTATTCAAAAACCCAATGTGCTGGGAAAGTGAATCTATTAATTTATCATGATGTGTGAGGGCTTGAAAGCACAGTTAACATTGAGCTGATCAACTCCAACTACAAAATGTATTTGGGGCGGTTTTGAAAAAAAAAAATCAACCATTGTTGTCACCCTTGTATGATTTGAACTTGCCATTCGCACGTTCATTTCCTCTTATATTATCTTGCTTGAAATTTAAAATCATGATTTAGAAAGTTTTTGTTCGACTGCTTACTGCAGGGCGGCTCTGATGTGGGACTGTATAAAAGCATCATCCAGTGCATTAATATCAGCTATAACACTCAACTACTTGAATTGAGTCATCATGTTTACGATCCAATACCGTTCATTGTGTTGAACCATTTTTTTCACCAGCTGTGTTTAAATTCAAATATATTTCCATTGTATTGTGGTTTTATACCTTATTAAAATCAATATTTTGTAATGTGTGTATAAATAACAATGACGTGTATGCTAATTTTTATGATGATTTCTCATTTGCAAAATAATTTTGTTTTGATAAAAAAAATGTTTATACAGCAATGAGTTACATTGCTTATGTCTGCATACTTACATATTTTAATGTTTTGCTCCAAGAGATAAAATGGTGGCTGGGTGGCCATGGTGTGTTTTAGCAATGTGTTACATTGTTTATGTCTGCATACATACATATTTTAATGTTTTGCTGTGTTTTTTTCACGTTGTTGCTGTCAAAATTTTGTGTTTTATGTTTTTAATATTTATGAACAAATATTATTAATGTTTTGAATACTGTAATATTTCCCACCAAAATGCTTTTGTACATTTTTAGGTTTTTTTCTGTAATTTGTTTTTTGGAATTTTTGACCAAGTAGAATAATTTACCACTTGACTGTTCAATATTTTGTGCAAAATGACAGAAGTTTACTTACTGGAATTCAAACATTTTTAAATTATTGTGTTGCTGCTGTATTTTATTAAATCTTTGAGCGTCAAACTTTCTGTCACCAGTCGCAAAATAAATTTGTATCATCTTTTCTGTACTTTCACCAAAATTTTGATTAAGATCTGTATCCAATGAGAGATTATCTCCATTTTGATTAAGATCTGTATCCAATGAGAGATTATCTCCATTTTGATTAAGATCTGTATCCAATGAGAGATTATCTCCATTTTGATTAAGATCTGTATCCAATGAGAGATTATCTCCATTTTGATTAAGATCTGTATCCAATGAGAGATTATCTCCATTTTGATTAAGATCTGTATCCAATGAGAGATTATCTCCATTTTGATTAAGATCTGTATCCAATGAGAGATTATCTCCATTTTGATTAAGATCTGTATCCAATGAAAGATTATCTCCATTTTGATTAAGATCTGTATCCAATGAGAGATTATCTCCATTTTGATTAAGATCTGTATCCAATGAGAGATTATCTCCATTTTGATTAAGATCTGTATCCAATGAAAGATTATCTCCATTTTGATTAAGATCTGTATCCAATGAGAGATTATCTCCATTTTGATTAAGATCTGTATCCAATGAGAGATTATCTCCATTTTGATTAAGATCTGTATCCAATGAGAGATTATCTCCATTTTGATTAAGATCTGTATCCAATGAGAGATTATCTCCATTTTGATTAAGATCTGTATCCAATGAGAGATTATCTCCATTTTGTCCAAAAATGATTAATTAACTCCAAAAAAATTACATATAAAAGTGCGAAATCTTACACTAATACATTTTTGTGGGTAAAATGGTGATCAAGGGGTTAGTTCTGCTTTTCTGCTGGATTTTAAATACTGTGAAATACTTAAATACTATTTTAGCTGGAATTAATTCTCACTGAAAAGGCTTTTGGGGCGTTTTATATGGAATCTATTTTCACTGATTTTTGATGAGTTGAATGTGAAATATAGGAATGAAGTATATTTGATTTTATTTTCACAGAATCATCCCTTCAGCAAAAATAAATTCCAAGCGATAATAAAGTATTCTACAGTAATATAAATCTACACCCACACTTTCAATGGGTTTTGTATATTTCACATACACACTAGAGAAAAATCCAATTTATAACAATGTGCATGTCTACTTCTAAAAGTCTAAGAATTATTGGCACCTATATGTGACAGCTGCAGTCGTGTGGTTTCAATTTTTTGATATTATTTGTCTTAGGCCAGGCAGAAAAATGTTATGTTTCTGGTAACAGGCTACAACTATTTTTTTTAAATTTTATTTTATAATTTATTTTCTCAGATCACTCCTAGTTTTACACATGTACATTAATTAAAGATGACATCCAATTTTTTTTTCTGGTCATCTACTACATTATAGAAAGTATGAAAAACAAATTTTGGTAATTTTGGTACATGTAGATGTACAATTCTGAATAAAATTAAATTTGGCTAACTTTTATAATATAAATCTATTAGTTTGTCAAGCTAAGGGTATCTGGAGTTCCTAGACACTGTATTAATTATAGTGTGTGTCATGCTGTATTTACAGCTGACTGATGGCAGTTATTATCTCAGAATTACTTAACAATAAATCATAAAAGTTTGGTACAGCATGTTTTAATAGAAATTTGATTTGGATTGACCTTGCACAGAGTTTAGTATAGCCACTGGCAATGATCAAGTTATTTATTTAATGATGAACCTGTAACTATGGTAACTGGTGATATTTCTATTCATGATGTCGATGTTTTTATGCCTGTATAAATATCTGACAGCAGAAAACTATTTATGATGCAATGTTTTCTTATCTTCATTTTGATTTGTTCATTTCTTACATGTATCTCTAATCTTAGCTGGTTCACATGTAACATTTACATCATTGTGGCATCGCCATACAAATTTGAAGCCGATTTCTTTTTACCATGTGATCAGTTTTCTCCAGTGTTAAAATGGCTGATTTTACATCGATGTAAACTGTCTGTAAGTCCATGTTTGAAGCTAAATTCTGAACAAAAGTTTGTGTTAACATGCACAATGACATAAACAGTGGCACAAACTCTCTTGATCAGGAATGTGTGTCCACGTCCATAGCATCAACATAGCAATGACTCATATATATACCGCTCTGGTCAGTGGAGTGAGTAGTTTCAGAAATATTTGGAGTGATAATAAAGTCTTGCTGAAGTCACAAGTAACTGACAAGAATAACCATTTAGTGGTAGGGTACAGATTTATACAGGCCTGTTTTAGTGTTGTGTGGTCGCACTCCAAAACTGCCATTGTAGGGTTAGTGGCAACACTCGTGTCTACAATGGTGTATTTCTATAACTTACAACTTCTGTTCTGTTCTGTTCTGTCCTGGCCTGCTATGTTCTGTTCTGTTCTGTTCTGTTCTGTTCTGTTCTATTCTATTCTGTTCTAGTTCTGTATTTGTAATGTATGTGGAATGTAAATGCTATATTTCATTCAGTAACCATGACAATGCTGAAAGCCTGCTTGTTACAAAAGTATTTGCTGAAGTATATGTAAGATAGACTATTTTTATGATGAAAACGTGTATGTTTTATGATGAAAGAAATGTAAATAAATAAAATGACAAATTTAGACAGCCTACTTCACTTCAAAGCTCCATAACATTATATCATTTTATTTACCAATTCTATCATTTTATTTACCAATTCTATCATTTTATTTACCAATTCTATCATTTTATTTACCAATTCTATCATTTTATTTACCAATTCTATCATTTTATTTACCAATTATATCATTTTATTTACCAATTCTATCATTTTATTTACCAATTCTATCATTTTATTTACCAATTATATCATTTTATTTACCAATTCTATCATTTTATTTACCAATTCTATCATTTTATTTACCAATTCTATCATTTTATTTACCAATTCTATCATTTTATTTACCAATTATATCATTTTATTTACCAATTCTATCATTTTATTTACCAATTATATCATTTTATTTACCAATTCTATCATTTTATTTACCAATTATATCATTTTATTTACCAATTATATCATTTTATTTACCAATTATATCATTTTATTTACCAATTATATCATTTTATTTACCAATTATATCATTTTATTTACCAATTATATCATTTTATTTACCAATTCTATCATTTTATTTACCAATTATATCATTTTATTTACCAATTATATCATTTTCCTAATGAGTGTTTGATCATCATTGTCACATAATGGCCGCAACCAATGACCACAACAGACCTTGATGTCCTTACTCTACTCTCCATAGTCAACAAACAATTCACACTACGGTACTAGAGTATATGGTTTCATGTACAGCTGTGCCATGTAATGGTCATACTCAACAAATAACAAGTCACATGCATTGGATTATAGTCTACAGCTCATCCAAATATGATTGGATCTTTTATTTCTTTCTTTATTTTGGCTTTTTTTTTAATTTTACTCAAATTGAATGTATATTTTGTGAAATTGCTACTGTGTTGTAATTTAATGTAATTGTTGTATATGATAAATCTTTGTGTCACATCTGTGCTTTTATTTTAACCCTGAAATATGTATTTACAATAAAATGCATATTCATTGTCTTCAGCCTTCAGAGGACTCCAAAATAAACTGATCATGAATACTGTTAACTCTCTATTAATATTTCTTTTGAATATTCCAATAAAATTTGCAAGATTATTTTGGTATTTATTTTGCATCAATTTGCATACGGAATGCACCACTATTTGATAGGGGTGTGCAAATTTGAAATTAATTTGTATGGTTGTGTTCACATTATAGTTCATTATGTAAATTTTGTAGAAGTATAGAATGCCCTATAATACAAATATTCATTATTTCAATATTATTTCCTTCACACAATATCAGAATGAAAACAGTTTTCGCAGAGAAACAAATTCAACTGGCCTTGGGTTCCATAGTCAATAGGATTCAGACAGGGCTAGTCAACAGCTGTATTTTAAATATGGACAACAAAGTCTTATTTTGAATTTTGAAAAAAAAAATAAAATAAATGAAGTATTTTTTAAGCCATTTAAAGAACTAGAACTCCAAAGTAATTTTTTGGAAATTTTGAAAATAAACCTTCACTATTTCAATAATATGAAATTATTGCAAGAATACTGCAAAGTATGCATGAAGGCAGTATGGTGATCTCCAGCTGAGTTGGATGCAATACTTACAGCCTGAGTACATACTTTCTGGTATTCTCATGATAGCATTATTATCATACACCTTATTCTGCATGTTAGTAATATTTTGGTAAAATATAACAGCTCCAATGCCAGCAAATATTATTCTTGCCTATGCAATTGTTTGCCTTCAGTAACACAACATAAGGTTATTTGTTCATATTTGTAACGCGTCTATACAATGCTTTATAGGTCAATGTATTTTATTGTTTTCAACATCATGTGAATAATAATCAGGGGTTTTTCTAGAAAAAAACTGCAAGAGGGAGCACTGCAATTCAGCGGCGTCACCAAGTGGTGGAGATAAGGTTCTCCCTACCGGGGTGTGGAGTGTTTGATAATTAGGTTAAAATGGAGCATTCTATGGCTTCCTTGGGGCCAAAATTACTATCAAGTCACAGTTGAAGACTCTGGCCACATGTGATCCCTGGTCAATCAGAATTTTATGGTTGCCAGAAGATCTGCTCCCCAGTGTAAGGGGGCACATGGCCATGGCATGAGGGCGCTGCGCTGCCTTGTTTAAAAACATCCCTGATAGTGATCAATATCTATGACCATTATATCGTAACATTAAATCAATTTAGTCTCAAATCAACAAAGAACTTACAGAAAGTTAAATGCAAACATTTCAAATTTTTTTTTTGAGGAAAATGATGCAGTTCAATAAATCATCATTTCTATTTATTTGTTTTCCAGGCTTAGAATGGAGTAATCCAGATATTCTGGATAACTATGTGAGTATACAAAATACTATAGAACATAGACAAAAATGGCTGCTGTGATCTCAGTAAAAAGTGAGAGAATTGTTTCTACCCCTCAAATATTGTACCATTATCTAACTGTCATTGATTCTACTGTTTCACTTTTCTACGTAACCATGGTATTCGGAAGAGTGGACTTGATGACGAGGAGAATGGAACACTGATTGAGGTACAAAAACAAGTTTCATGGCCTTCACTCTGTGAGATCTCAGTGACCATTTACAACTACGGCATATTATTTTATTAAAAGTGATTTTTTTAAATTAAATTATTTTATTAAATCATTAATATTACAGTGGCCCCTCGCTAAGTCGCGGATGTTGGGATCCAAGCAAAAACCGTGGCTTATCGAGGGTCGCGACTTACCGAGAGATCTCTTGAAAGGGATGTTTATACATCGAAAATGGATAAAAAGCACATTTACACACATGGGTTTATTTATAGTACATTTTCTTTTTTGGACAACATCACAGCATCCATGTTCGCATGGATTCAACTCATTGCAGCGAGTTTTATAGAGCTTTATCAAAGGGGAACGACCAAGAAGTCGCAACTTTTTACCTCCATTGACTCCTTGTGTCAGGCTCCCTTCACCTTTTGTATCCCAGTAATTGACGACCAGTAGGTGTTAAGTTGTCTCTTCCAGCCCTTTAACGACCAATTAAATACACCATGTGATGAAACATTAGTTCTTTTACTTCAAAACTGTCGGCAAAACACAAGAGAGTTTTTTGGGAGTCATCCAATTACCTGCAACTTTGCCGAATCCGTAACTTACTGAGGCGTGACTTAACGAGGGGTCACTGTATTGCTTTTTGTACCATGTATATATGTTTTATATCTGCCAATGGGATTGCTAGAATCATAATATCTGCCAATGGGATTGCTAGAATCATAATATCTGCCAATGGGATTGCTACAATCATAATATCTGCCAATGGGATTGCTAGAATCATAATATCTGCCAATGGGATTGCTACAATCATAATATCTGCCAATGGGATTGCTACAATCATAATATCTGCCAATGGGCTTGCTAGAATCATAATATCAACAACCGACAATAATAATAAGAGATTTTTTCACAGATTTCTTGACTTCTATCTGACTAATGATAACTTTGTTTTTTTCATTTCGTAAAGAGTAAGGAAGGTAGCTGGGATCTGAATTCTAACGATGCTGATCCTTTACCAAGTGTGGATTCTAAAGGACAGAATCATCATGGTACGAGGTGTGCTGGTGAAATTGCTGCTGTTCCAAATACAGTGTGTGGGGTTGGAGTAGCGTATGGTGCTAAAGTATCAGGTAAGTACAAACTACTACTGTCGAATAACAGGGTAAAGTTGAGAGGATCATTTAGCAATGAAGCGTATGCTGTGACTTAATCACCCGGATGGATATAACTTACTTGCATAACGATTTAGATCTTGCCACATATACTTCACAAACATGAACTGTTTAACTTCTACTTCTGCACTAAAATTTAAGCATGTCAAACCATACCTCGTGTGACAGCTACATCAAACTATCCATGTGGTTATTACTCGTATCATTATGCCGTTGTTTTTATAACCAACAACATCTACATGTTCACTCAAGCATTACAAAAGCCTGTATGTTTTCCTCAATCCCAACTCTGTAACAGACTTGCCTTTACAGTGTATAACTATAAATAGTGTACTTACAGGTAGATTCTAAATTGGTAGTGTTCTACTACGTCATGAACATTAAATCTAGTGTGTTGGGAGCTATGTACCTGTTGTCGTAAAATATATCCTGTGGAACTCACTTTATAAAGCAAGTCATCTCACTACTCGCCTATCACTTGCCCAAATCAAAACAAGGAAGAGCTCTCATCGCTCTTCAATCCTTAGATTTTTGAGAAGATTTTAACAGCATTGCTCTTCTAATCACTCAAGACAGCTAGTTTTAGCTCCCAGGGCATTTCCAAAGACAAGATCTTATAAATGC